TTTATTTTTGAATTTTTTGGGAGTAATTCTCATATAGGGCAAAAATCACGTGCTTACAGCTATATTGTTGGTATATTGTGATCCGCTAATCCAAGAGAATTGTGGGAGAAATTGGAGAACTCTATGTCTGAAGACTTCAAAGTTTTACTAGATATCGGAACAAAAAGTGTTCGATATAAAGTTTTAGATTGTCTCAGTGACATCTTACATTCGATGGGACATAACATTAATGAATATAAACTTATCACTGAAAATTTCAAGGCTTCAAAGGCTGCCAAAGAAGGAAGAGAAATATTCTTCGAAAGAAACATAATCGTTACTGAAGAAGAGCTATTATTGCGACAAAAGTAGAACCCTGAACAACAAATGGCATACAATGTGATTATAGACAGAATATCTTCGAACAGAGCGGGAGCTTTTTTTTGTTGATGGTCCTAGAGGAACAGGTAAAACTTTTTTATATCGTGCCTTATTAGCTACTGTGTGATCTAAAAGATTTATTGCTCTAGCAACAACAACCTCTGGAGTTGCGGCTTCGATTCTTCCAGGTGGCCGTACAGCTCATTCCCGTTTTAAAATTCCCATTGACATTGATGAAAACTTTAGTTGCAATATTAGCAAACAAAGTTCACTTGCCTGTTTGATTCAAGATGCAAATTAATTGTATGGGATGAAGTATCGATGGCAAAAAAGAAAATGATTGAAACTTTTGATCTACTTTTGAAAGATCTCTTGAATACTAATGTGCTTTTTGGTGGTAAAGTTGTTATCTTTGGTGGTGATTATAGACAAACTCTACCAGTAGTTCGAAACGGAAAAAGAGAGGATTTTATTCATGAGAGTTTATTATATTCTGACATTTGGCCCCGACTTGAAAAATTGCAACTGTCAGAAAACATGCGTGCAAAAACTGATCCGGTCTTTTGTGAATATTTGATGAGAATAGGAAATGGAAAAGAACCTCTTACTTCTGAAAACAAAATTGAAATTCCAAAATTATTTATTGTCCCTTATACTACTGAACAAGAATCTTTGAATGCATTATCTGAAACAACATTTCCAAACATGCATGCTTTCTTCTGTGATGTATCTTATGTAACTTTCCGTGTTATTTTGATGACGAAAAATGATTTTGTAAATGAAATAAATGATATGCTTATAGGCAAATTTCCAAAAGAAGCCAAAACCTTCGTTGCAATTGATGAAACATGTGAATCGAATGATCAAAGTCAGTATGAAGATTTTTTGCATTCTTTAAATCCTGTTGGTTTACCTCCTTATAGATTAACTTTGAAAGAAAATTGTCCAATTATATTACTGTCACACCTCCTTTTTGCGCGCCCGCCCCGAGGGGTTAAATGCGCGGGTGGGAGTTTTTCC